TTATGTTGACGCCCTGTCCCAGCCCCATCCTAAGCCTCCCAATCTGTTTATAAAATTTAGAAATATGATCATATTTTCTTACGCCATGCACAAAGCGCACACATTGATTTAGAATTTTTTAAGTTCTATGCTCACTTTCATTATCTGAACAAAAACCATATACAAAATGATAATAATTAAAATCTGATAGGACAAAGGACCGGCATAAATTTTTTCTATACTTTCGAAATATGCTTTTTAAATATTTTTTAAATCTTTGCTCGCCATCTAAACAAATACCAAAGCATTATTAAGCACTGTGCCATCAATTAAAATATTTCAAGAATAAGAGAAGAAATAATTAAGATTTTGTAGGGATTTTCGTTAGATTATGCCTTTTAGAGAGTTCACTAAAAGTTCGTGAATCGTGATTTATTTCTACCTCCAAAAGATCATCATCATCAATAATAATAATGTGTATCGTCGGCAAAACGCTTGAATTTTACAGAAAGTTGATGATGTTAGAATGTCCGAAGTAAACACAATAAATAACAAAAATGGACCCCCGTAACACCCCCGAGAGAATTTGCGCCTGAACTGAAAATTTGTCACATGAGGATATTATTTGCTTTCAGATACGATGACATATGAGTAAAAGATCCAATAAAAAATACATAATATTTTAGCTTTGATGTTAGAAGTTGATGATTGATTGTATAGAAAGCCTTCGAGAAATGTAACAGCACAAGAACGGTACTCATTTTCTTACCATACTTTACACTTAAGAAATATCATGCAGTAGATTAAGCAGTGCTACTTGTGTCTCAGACTTCCTTTTAAATATACATTGCGGAAGTGGAACAATTTTGTTAGCAATAAAAAATTTGTACATTTCATTACATAATATTTTTTCGTAATTTTTTAAAATTACCGGAAGAATGCTTATCAAGCGGATATCATTATATGTGGTTAGATTAACTGTATTGGCTAATGGTTTCCCTATTGGTATCTTCCACTCGTCCGGAAAATAGTTTATTTCGATACAGCAGTTGATTGTATGCTTAATATATTTATCAATATATCCATATATATATATATATATATATATATATATATATATATATATATATATATATATATATATATATATATATATATATATATATATATATATATATATATATATATATATATATATATATATATATATATATATATATATATATATATATATATATATATATCATATATATATGTCAAACTGTTAATTATTGGGATCACCCCAACTTCGATGGATCGCCGTAAAGGGAGCAATAAAAGATGTTGAAGCTCAAAGCAAAGTTTATTGTAATATCTAGCTTTCGCCCATGGATACAGGCTTCATCAGGACACTAAGTCATATAGAGAACAAAAAAACACTTCATCAGAGTCAACAATCTAACCAAAAAATAGTGAAAAAACTTACACAACACGCCTCTTTCAACCTCTACATATAGATAGAGAGATGACATTGGTATATAAAATAAAGTGTTTCGCCCGTTCTAACTATCAATATAACACTCGATGGATGAAATTTATGGAAAAAATTTACAATTGTAAAAAATATTAACATCCACCACAACGTTACAAAACAATCCCACTGACATAAAACGTTAAGGGCAATAAAATATCCGGATTGATAAAATATTAAAAGATGAAAAAACAGCCGATTTGTTACAAATGACACTCCGTATTGTCGAGAAGGAAAACTAAATGTGCGGGAACTTATTAACAATTCACAATAACCTAAAAAAGCCACAAACAAAAAACCAGTCAATGATACCAACTGTACAGCCAACCATAACATATGTAAAACACCAAACAAGGGAGGGAATTTTAAACAGAATTCTTTCAAATATGCACCCATTGTACACTATTTATATAACTATGTTTACATTATTGAAGTTAACGTTAAGGGCAATTAGAAACAATCCTTTAGGACGGGGAGAAAGAAACAAAGAAAGGAAACTGTTTTTAAACATTAATAGCAACAAATTTAGCAACCCACTACAACCTGACCGTATCAAAAAACTCTGGTAGCTTATGCTTCGCAGTACGACTCTGATTAAGAAGATAGGTGTAGATGCTACTAAGACCCTCAACATCCTTCTTTCTGTTGAGGCTATTACTACAACAGTTAATATAACACATCTCTAAAAACTTACGTTTGAAGAGGTTCTTTTCACTCTTTAATACTACCGCTTCATCGTACATGACACTATGTCCGGTATCATTGACATGAGCACTTAAACTAGTAATATTTGGTTTTAACTTACAATCACTTTTATGAAGTGTTAGCCGTTTTTTTAACTTCTGTGAAGTATGACCAATGTAAATTAAATTGCAAGAGCATTTAATGCAATATACAACGTCTGATTTATGTAACGATGGGGTAATGTCTTTAAGATTGGAATAGAAATATTTGAGGGGTCTTAAGTTGTAATTGGCAATTTTTATATTAGTATCTTTAAAGATCCTAATCAGAGCCGGGGACAATCTATCTATATACTGTAGTTTGCCAAAACTAGGCAACTCATTATTAACATTAAGCTGTCGTTGTAAAGCATTAGGCAGGTCTGTAGTGGCACTATCACAGGAGAGAATTTTATTTATTAACGATGGTGGGTATTTATTATTAATTAGTAGGTTCCTTAATAACATTAAGTTCTTATTTAACAGACTATGGTGACAATTTTTTTTAATGCGATCAGTCAATGCTACAATCATATTGATCTTTTGTTTTTTAGGGTGATACGATATGAAGGGAATGTATCTACCGGAACTAGTAACTTTTCTATGCCAATCAAGAATAACTAAATTTTCACTAGTGCGAATGACCTTTGTGTCAAGGAAAGGGACTGAACGATCTGTATCCGTCTCCACCGTGAAAGTGAGATCGGAATGAAAGGAATTGAAAATTTCAAGTGTGGATTCGATGAGGTTAAGTGGAACTGCTGTTAATAAATCATCCACATATTGATATATGAAGGGCAATTCAAAACTAACTCTGTCTATCACATAATAAAGTAATTTGTTCATAACAATCTCAGCAATCACAGGGGAGGCCGCACCCCCCATAGGAAGGCCCTTCACTTGTTGGTAGAATTTTGCATCAAATGAGAAAAAAGTATTATTATATAGAAAAGTTACCGTATCCAAAAACTCCTTCTTAGGTAATGTACAGTTGGGCTCAACCAAGTCAAAATGTTCCTCTATAATATCAACAACTAACTGTAATGGAATATGAGTAAATAAGGACACTACATCGAACGAGACAAGTGAAAAATCAGATGGTAAAATAGACTCATTAATACGCTCCGCAAACTCAAAGCTATCTTTAACCCTAAACTTATTGAAGCTACTAAAAGACTTATAAAGAATTTGACTGATAAATTTAGCTAAGGGTTGCGTCGACGCACCTACACATGAAACAATAGGGCGTAAAGGGTAACCCATAATATTTGGAACAGACACCATTGTAGGTTTTGAGGTTACGAGCCGTGGTATCATCAATATAGCCAAGGTTGTTAATTTTCTTGATAATATTATTGCATTGCGTTTCTATTGAATGCGTAGGGTCCCTTATTACAGGTAGGTAAGTGTTAGTATCATTTAATAATATGAGAGATTTTTCTATGTAATCTTCTTTAGTCATAGCCACCGTGACATTACCCTTATCAGATTTAGTGATAACCAAGTTAGGATTAGCTTTTAAAAATCATTTGAATTCAAATAAGTTTAGTACGGTCAATATAAGAAGAAATTCCAAGTGTTGCCAAATTAAGGTTGACATACATTTAATAGTTTTCAATTTACTGTTGGTATTTCTTATTAATATTCCAAGTCTATCTCCAGTGCGTCGCTGTCCCATATAGTCAGGAGCCTGCGTTCAGACCTCGTGGTCCATTATGCCATTCGTTCTCTCCCCTAAAAGAGCCTTGCCCTTTTGTTTGTTTGGTTGACTTTGGATACTTGTTCGGGCTCAATGAATTTAGCTGCTAGTACTGCCCGGAACAGACCGTAAGGTTCCACTAATTTTGTTAGTAACTAGGATCGAAGGGCTGTAACAGGGTTTCCATAGTCCAGTTTCATTAGTCAATGTGCACTGAGTTCTCTAACTGTTCGAGGTTTAGGCTTAAAGTTCCCAAGTTCAGGTCCAGCCGACAATCAATTAAAAAAATAATTAGTTTTTAAGGTCAAATCTTCCAACCCTTCCCCAATAAAGTTTTTGGATTAGAGCTAGACAGGACCCTCATATCTGCGGTGTAAGTGGATATGCAGGAATTTTATACTCCTTCCGTTCGCGTCACACATGGTTTGTAAAGTATGTGAGGATGGTTGAAGTCATTGAAATAATAGGAGGCAACAAATGTTTGTCAATATAATACTAAAAATTTGAAAAACATTGTTTATCCGAACCTCAAGATTGCAATTGGGCCAGTGCGCCATGGCCCAGATGTCCCAATAACTGAGAACTCAGCTTATTTAGAAGAATACACCACCAGTTTCTCTGAGCGTGAAATAGATGAGGATGCCCTTATTGATGTTGATGATATGTGAAGTATTTCTCAGCAAGCATAGTTGTTTTTACAAGCAAAAATTAATGACTTAGTGACAGAATCTTTATAAAATTTTATAGGCCACAAGACGTTAAAATCTCATATTTTAAGAAGAGTGTCATAGAATTTACGTGCTATTTTGTACAAAGTGATTTACTTGTTTATTGCACCGAACTTGGTACAGACTACAATTCTGAGTACGGGATACTCATCCAAGAGAAGCTTTAGTGCTGTTATTTTCTTTCTTTCTTTGTACCTGTTGCTCATGTATGTGCAAACGAATAAGCGATATGAAAATCTGGAATTATTGCTTCAGAAAATCAAATACAAGAACTATAGTTCAATGTTTTGTGGTGAATTCAAAATTATCTACGATTCTATATTTTGAAAGCGAAACGACATAGGACAAAATTTATTCCTTTAATATACCTCACACACATTAAAATCTAAACTATTTCAAAATGCTGTAAAGGGTTGCTGACCGTAAGTATAATAAATATAATTCCACATTGCCATTTGCTTTTCCTTTCTGTTTGGCTTCACTGCGAGTTTCTCATCCAAGTCTAAATACTGAATATTGGACGGCGAAACTTTTGGCCACGTCAGATTGAATAGTGGGTCCGTTGGATCAGGCGTGGGGTTTCTGAAATTAACAACATTTTTTTAATATTGGCCAAACTTTTCTCAAAAACTACTAATAAGCTTAAGACTTTACCAAAACTATGTACCTTTGGTTTTGATAAAAATAAATTTCACCTTTTGAAAGCGGTATTCATTGTGATTCACGTTAAAAAAGCACTGTTTAAAATATTCCATCTCATTTACGCCAAAATATGGATCTGCGAACTACGGATAGTTACTTCGTCTTACGATTTATCAACGACAAACTCTGACGTTTGTTTTTCGTTTATAAATAAGATTGATAAGCGAGCCGTAATTCTGTCCTGACATGAAAGAACAGGATATGCTTATAAATTTGTTTGTTGTAAAGAGTTTTGATTTGGCAATACGAATAACAAAAAGCAATTTTCTGGTTTTATTTTGAATATGGGAAGGAAAGTGAAAAATTTCCATCCTGAGAATAGAGTAAATAGATAAAGGAGGTTTGGACGAACATAACCTCAAAACACAAACTCCCCTCTGGCGGGACCTTGACGCTTGTAGGTTATATTCTTCCAAACCCTGTCTATGCATCTACTAATTAATATCCAAGAAATAGCCGAGAAAACACTGGGAATCAATTTAAGGACTGTGCAGAAAATTGTGCATGAAAAAAAATCGCAATGCAATACCGAAAAAGTGATTGACGATTTGTGGAAAGATATAATAATTTAAATTCAGAACTGGTTTATCACTTATGTAGAACAAGAACCCATGTAATTCTTCGAGTCTTGAAAGATAGTCTAAATGTTAGATTAGAATCATTATCAAAATGAATTATTAGGTTCTCGCTATAAAAAGAAATGCACCTGAAGATTTTCATGTGAACAGCGACAGATAGTGGCTTAGCGTGTTCAATGTGGTATTTTTAGACAAAGTCGCTACGTAGCTTTGTATTTTCAAGGCTTTTGTCCTAGAATGACGTACTGTTTTCATCCGTGCCGAACTTTCGCAAAATCCATGTAATTTTATTGTGCATGCACCCAGAATAAAGTCTAACCGAAGTTCAAAATCACTACAAACTTTAAATATTAAAATTTCTACAAGTAATAGCAATATCCAAATATTCTGCGCACCCTGTCCGTAGACGAAACTCTGTTTCTGTCTCCACACAATTTACGATACTGTATAGACCAAATTATCCAACGTTTTATAGTTTTTCATAAATGGCTTATAATTTACCCACAAAAATGGCAAATTTGAGGGTTTGTTTGATATTTTGCCCGTAATTGACACACCGGATTCGTAATTGAAAAAATGCCGGAAATAGAGGCTATAGCCCTGGATCTCCCACGTTTTCTGGTCTAAGAAAAATATTGTTTTTCTGAAACTTGGCAATACGCCGTAATATTCAATGACGAACTCGCTGCCAGACTAGGTCCGCAGAATAGTGATTTTCATATAGATTTTTTCAAATATCTGGAGCAGCATTTGTGTTATCTGAAAACCGTAAATACAAAAATTGTAGCTCTTGATATGACTTATAATACTGTTTCAGGAAAAGAACAATTTTCAAGGTCATTTAGATTATTGTTCACAATCGAGAAACCATGTATAAAATCGAATGCTTGGAACAAGAGTTATAGTATCGGATCTTCCGCGTCCTCCTGGGGAAAGAATTTTACCGATTAGGTTAATAGTTTTCGCGAAAACATTTTTTTTCCGAAAGCCAAAATAATCCAAAAAAAAAAAACTTGGTCAAGTTTGATTGTGCACAATTTATTACACTTTTGAATATAGCATAGAATATCACGTATTTAAAGTTTTCACATATTTTACAGCGTCAGTATGTGAAAACCTTAAATACGAAAGTTTTAGCCATCCGTGCAGGCTATATGATCGTGTATAAGAAACTGACAACTTAAACACAGCCTTTTAGTTATAGCTAATTACCATTATAAGGGGAACCCAATTGGTTAATGAATTTCTTCAATAGCGTAAACGGTTTTCGAGAAATGATTTTATTTCTTATTGTTGCAAATATATTTTTTAATTTTTCAAAACTACAACGACCCCCTAGCCCCCGCAGTTACAATACGTTTCACTGGCTCTCAGACTGCTTAAAAAAACTAAATCCGAAGGCTGTGGGGCAAATCGTTCAAAAGTGATAGCCAATTAATACTCCATCTACAGAGACACGGATAACGGATAACCGAGAACGGAGAACAGAAAAAAATTGACGTTGATTCCATATGTACTAATGGCGACGCAGTACGACGCTGCGTTGCTCGATTTCATCGACATATTTGCTTTTTCTTCTGTTGTTTGTTTTTGTTTGTGACTAATTAATTTCTCTATTTAACACTTACAATGTTTTTGCAAAGTTAGCCCAGAGCTTGACAATCTGCTTATTCATCAATTTATCACCATCCGTGGTGTACACGCTTGTCGGTGAGCTAAAAAGGTACGCCGTTTCTGCCCCGTGACCCGCAGCTCCCGCTCCTGGAATAAATTTAGTTAACCATCCGAACCCCTCGAAATCTTTCTACATTGTAGGTACCTTCGATGATTGGAATAAAATTGAAGGACCCTTCGAAGGAAAATTGGTAAAGATATACGGGAGTAAAATTTGACTGAATTTCAGCCTGCTTCAACGTTGATTTTACAAACATATTATCGCTGGTTACCTGAAAGCATTCTTTTTTATTATAGTCCATTGATTTAAGAAGTATTATTAAATCAATTTTTTTATAGGATCATGTATCTGGAATTAGAATCATCCTGCCATTCATGGAAAACTCGAGTCTTTATACTTAAACGTGAATCTAATATTCAAGCCACTGTGAAACTGAAAGATAAAAAACGAAAGGATAGGGGGTAAGGTAAGGAAGATATCTCTAAAGGTCAACAAGGATTGATTCTGGTCAATACTGTGGTTCAGGACTTCCATTGCATAAAAATGTTTTTAACACGACTGGCCTTGGTAAAAACCACGTTATTGACAGTGAAGGTTACCACAGCGCTGAGATTTCTACGCTTGGATAACGAAAGATATTGTGTGTTGGATGAAGGCAGCGTCTACAACTTTCTCTTCTTCCAGTACACGAGACCAGATCTATTTGTTTCTCCACCTTGGATATGTTTCTGGTGTTCTGCTATTCGTTTAGCCTGCAAACAATTTTCCACATTCGCAGGGCACCTAATATATATAGTTTTTGTTGTCTGTGATTCTCTGTTTTTGTTTTCTTTATTAAAGTTCTTATATTTTGCCCACACTGGAAGACGGTTTTGACGTTGCTTTTTGTTGCAATCCTTCTGATCTTTTCGGAAACTGCTTGAACATAGGGAATGTCCATTAGTTGGTTTTAGCTGGACTCTGATTTATATGCTGCTTGGTATTGAGACTTAGTAATGACGTCTTCAATCACTCTCTGCGAATAGCATTAGATCTTCTTTAATTCGTCAATTTCGTCGTTAAGTAGAGCTTTATTGCTGCATGTACTCTTTGCTCTTTCATATAGTAATTGGATTGTTTCTCGATTGATTGTTGCTGACTGGTTGGATGACATTTAGCTATTGGCCTTTGTTTGTGGCCTTTCTGTACCCATAGATTTTGAGCTTGATCTGATCTCGTAACCAAGACATCGAGGAATGATATTGCTGCGTTTATCTCTTTATTCATGTGAATTTTATAAACGGATCGATTCGATTAATGCGATCCGGAAAATTTCTAGTCTTTATCCCAAATTATAGTGGTGTCGTCGATATGTTTCAACCAATGTTGTGTTGGTTAGTTTTTAATTTGGTAGATTCTTCTTTCATCGTAACTAACAAAATTTTTTCAATAATTTAAAGGTCTTCATTATTTAAAAAAATTGTTGACGAATGTTCTTGTAATGGGGTGATTATCTCCAACAGATATCGAGTCAGCTCACTTTTGAATTCCTGGAACTTCAAATTGGCCTGGCTGGTATGCCGTACAGGTGTGGTGGTTTACTGTGGTGGGGTGTGAGATATCGTCTGGAGTTTTCCAGATAATCTCTGTTCTGGGTTCTAACCTACCTAATCTATATTTTTCGTCTCTCAATACTTTGGCCATTTTGTCATAGTAATCAGTGGCATTTACTTTATCAGCTGGAAGTACCTTAGCTTTATGGTGTTTCAGATCCTTTATTGCGCTTTTCTTTCTTTTTTCTCTTTTCTCCATTCTGGACATATTGTTCATTGGCTTCTTTTTGTTTGGTTCAAGGGTGGTTCTGATTTTCTACTTAAACTCTTGTAGATACGGTTGATTCAGCTTTATGGTCTCAACTGTGTTTTATTATACCCAAAAACGCAACTTTTAACGGATCCGTTTTGTCGATTTGCCTGAGGCCTCTGTTGCTTCCAGTCATGTTGGATCTTCTTGCAGGTGTAGTTAATTTTGTTGAAAATAGGTTTGCAATCGTCTTCGAGAAGAAATTCCTTGATTTATTTAAAACGTTGAGTTGCTTGGTCCAAGAGTAATGCAATGCAAAGTACTAATTGTTTCAAAATATTCGACCTTTAAAAAAGGGTTTTGTGAGTTTTGTGTTGAACTGATTTTCGAGCCCATTGTTTTCATTATGTTAGGCACTTAGAATAATAAAGAAAAAAGTCATAAGAAACTATGCAATGCAAGAGTCTCTATTTTCCAAGTCACATGTTAATTTATTGAAATGAATTGCGTCACTGATGTTTATTTGGAGTTCTTTTTGTGACCTGCTTACGCTACTACTTAGGTTTAATAATTTAAAAAATATCTTCTAAACTATCTTCAATTCGGATAAACATTTGCAAAAGTAAAAAATATTTGAAACGGAATGTATTATTCGTTCGCACGGTGCGATAAAATTTTTAAGCAGATTTAACATTTTAAAAATCGTGAAAAGTGAAAAAACATTGGTCTTATTACCATTTCTCTATCAATATTCCTTTTTTAAAATTTCATACATTTTGAACTTAAACCTCATTAGAAATGCCGTCTACACGTTTTCATGCCGTAGACACATAGAATATCTTTCCTGTAGCTCCAAACGTACTTTTCGTTTGACGTTATTCATGTTTATTTTAATCAGTAAAACCAGATTTGAACTTGTTTTGATATCTTGTTATAAAATGTTAAAAAACTGTTGAGGATACTAATATACCAACTAATATCCAAACACGGGAATACTTTATATTCTCTCACCTTGTGGAGGGACCTCTGGACGGTAAATATCTCTATTGGTTTTCTTATGGTTCCAGACCTTGTTGACTTCAGCGTCTTGCTTGGAACATCCTTCATAGTGTCGAATTCAATTTTATTTACCTTTAAAGTTTTGGTAATTTCTTCACAACAGTCTTTTGATGAATTTGTTTTTAATATTCAGGTATTTTAAATGTATGGTTCAAAGAAATGTTCCAGAATATATTTTCACTCAAAATTTTTAATTTCTTAATTTAATTCTCGCTTTTTGATCGCCTGTTGAACCAAGTATTCAAACCGAAATATTTTCCTTAAAGTTTAATCAAGAAACTTTCTATATATAAAAATATTTGTTGTTACTGAAGAAAAATCTTAAGTTAGCCACTTCGTTAAAGCAAAAAACAATATTCGTTCCAATCCTTCATAGTTAATAACACTCTCTCCTCCGTTGATTGTCTCCGAAATGCTATACTCTCTATGCTATGGTATTGTATGGATATGGTTCACACCGATCAGTACTATTGAGTTCTAAAGTTGGTATATCTGTGACTCTGTCGCTGCAAATTACAAATTTTGGAAATCAAACGTGGTGTTCTGCTGGCGTTGTCAATTTCGGTACATATCTTTTGTGTCGTATTGCCATCCTGTTAGAGCGCCGGGTCTCTCACGTATTACGGGCCTAAAATTTTTCCGATCGGATAATTGATTTTGGAGGAAAAGATGTTTTTCCGGATACCAAAATACCCAAAATACCAATTTAAAAATTTAAAAAAAGGCTCCGCGTTATTTTATTGCTTTCAATTTCTTCTTCATCTTCTTCTACTTCTTGGAGATCTGTCGATCTATTATTTCTGAAGCTGCCTCTCCATCTTTTCCTTTCCAACTATCATTCCACCTTTTAGGTGGTCTTTCGGGAGGTCTTGGGCCGGGCGGGTTGTTTTCCAGGACTATTCTCGGAAGTCTGTTCTTCTCCATCCGTTTTACATGGTTGTACCACTACCTCTTACATTGTCTTCCCCATCTCACAATATCTTGTATCCCGCACTGCTTTCTGACATCTGTGTTTCTTACTCTGTTTTTTCTTGTTTTCCCCACTATTGTCCTCAGTGTTTTCATCTCTGCTACCCTTAGCATTTGTTTCGTCTTGTTGGTGTCTTCGCGGACTTCCGTGCCGTACGTCATGATGGGTCTGATACAAGTTTTGTAGATTCTAATTTTGCTATCCTTGCGCATATACGGATTGGACCAGACTATATCTCGTAGGCATCCTGATAGTGCGGATGCTTTGTTAATCTGGCTCCTTATGTCTTTAACTGGGTCGTGGGTGCTTGATATATCTATGCCCAGATATGTAAATTTCATCACTTGTTCTATGGGTTTGTCCTCCACCACCAGCTTACATCTGAGCGGATCCTTCGCGATTGGAAACATTTGGTCATGTTGACAGAAATATTCATATTGAGTTGGCGGCTTTCTAGGAAGAACTGGAATAGTTGTCTTTGTAGGTCGTTTTCTGATTCGGCGATGATTGCTGCATCATCGGCACACTATTCCAACTTTTTTGTTGCCCAGTCTGTATCCGAGGTTGAGACTTTTTACTTTGTTTATAATTTTGTCCATGAGAATATTAAACAAAAGGGGGCTTAGACTGTCAGCCTGTCTGACTCCTGCCGCTGTTGGGATATTTTCAGTGAATTGATCTTCTACCTTGACCTTTGTTACGTTATTGTTATTTAGGTTGTGGATTATCTTCGTTATGTTTGCTGGTGCCTTATTTTCCATTAATATCTGTAAAACGTCTCCCAATTTAAAGAGTCTAAATCCGGGTGCAGACTTCTAGTTCTCTCCCAAGTCTGAGGTCGGTAGTGCAAATTTGGGGCACTTATTATGCTTTTTAATTTTGCACCGAATATCGCTAACACCTTGTACAATACTTAAAAACCCCTAAATACAAAATCTTTAGTTGTGTATATAGCATCAAGTAAAAAAAACTGACATCTAAAACACAGATTTCAAATTATTGCCAATTTTCAATAATAGGGAGACCAATTTTTCAGTTTAAATTTTTTGAATTTGCGACGCACCCTGTATATTTTTAAAAAATCGTATAGAATAAAAGCTTATGGAGCCGTATTCTCTGCGTCTTCTGGTTCTTGAATTTTTTCGGTCTTGTTAACGGATTTTGAAAAATGGTCTTTTTTGTAGATGGATGCCGGCGTCGAATTCAGGCCGTTTCTGACATCTTGTGGAGGGTTAAAAAGGAAGCAAATTTCAATTTTGCAGCTCCAAACGGTTCGAAATTTATACAGGAAAAACCAAACGGAGAACGGACAGACAAAAAAATATTTTTTTTGACACTCCTACGTTATCAAGTTATAAAATTTTTATACGAGCGAAGATACTTTCGAAGTAGACAGCGTTTTGCGTGGGAGGTTTGAGCACTAGCGGGTGGTTTCATTTGTTATTAGATCTTTTATATTAATTTTGTTTTTTTTTGTTTGTTTGTCCTTTTTGCCAAATTCCATTATTGTTATAAAAGGACTGGCGCCTAACAAAATTAAAAGTCCTGTCTTTTTACCGATAAATGTAACAGTACCATACTGTTCAACTATACGCCCAACGATATACGCGCAAAGAACTGTGATACGTTCAGGGATGTGAACAAATTCATTTTTATTGATTATTTAAATGGACCAATGGCAGTCTGTATAACATTTGTACCAACATAACACCATTTTGAATCTGAATTGAATTGAATCTATCGGGTGGTCGCGTACCGAGGAAAATACTTCTGGGGTTTCAAATATTTTTATGTTTATTTTAAGCATTTAAGTTTTACTTATACGCGACTAAAGCACGTAACATGTGGATCTACACAGTAGAGTAAATTTCGCTTATGACTTTAAGAGCCGAAAGAATGACTTTACAAGTATAAAATTGAAAGTTTAGAGCGAAAATTATTAAAAAAGCTTTTTTATAAAAGAAATATTATCTTACTCATCCAAGTCGAAAATGACGTAAGAACCCACTAAATACTACTATTTTTTTCATACACAACAATTTTTGATGAACCTTTCAACTTGTCTGAGACACGAAGAATCCCATTCCGAGTAAAACGCTAAATTTTAAGGTAAAATTTTCAGCTAGACTTAGTAGCGTGTTCCTTCTGCACCTTCATGGAACGTCGAATCACAAGATGGGAGAGAAAGCAGTATATATACATAATTTTACAGGACAAACCGGCTACTTGTAGCAAGGCATGTAACCTAATTGTGGCATTGTAAATAACTCACTTCTATAACGGCAGCCAAATCTTGACTATATGTTCCATTGGACCCAACGTAAGCGTCCCTGATCATGGAGCCAATTTCCGTTGCGTTGGCACCTGGCAATAGTACCAGATCCGAAGGTATGACGACCGACAAATTCGAATCAAAAAATGCTCCTATGCCGCTGATTACCGGCTCTCCTAAAAAACTTTAAGCTTTGCACTTTCAGGTTAAAGATGCGTATAAAATTTATTTTATGATTCTCGAAAATTTGGACAAGTTACTAAATATCAGTACTCTAGGTATATTAGAAACAGAAAACTTCCCCTAACTTGAAGAAATATGTTCGTTGTAAATTGTTTGGATATTGCATTTCATTATTCTGGTATTTCCTTTTTAACTCCAAAATTAGTACTGGTTTCATGTAAAACTTTTGGATCAAGAATGAATCGTCTTTGTTATTGTCACAAAATGTACGAGTTAACTTCTCTTCCCAGAATTAGCTTTATAAACTACAATTATGCGATGATGTGATACAGCAACCCATTCAAATCAAGATGGTTGAAAGATATTAATTTATTATTAGCACTCGAGATATTTTGCCAAATAGTCTGTATGCCCGGGATACCTGAAATAAATAAAAAAAAATTTAAAATACGGGGTGTTCCATTTAAAAAAAGTTATATAGAGGTTGTTATCTATTTTCACTAGATGTGAAAACGCAAGTAGCGAACATAGCGTCCTATGGCCACAACTAAATTGTATTTCGTTTGACTCACACCATTGGCATTTCGAAAACTTATACAGTATACAGAAGGTAGGCACCCGCTCAGTCCGCCGTCCGTCCGAACATTACAACGCAGATACGATTTCGACAACACACACCAATACCAAGGCAGAAGAAATGCGGCATTTCTTCGCGAAGCAAGGGACATAAATAAGATCTCAAACTGAATGGATTTAGAGCTATGAAGATGACGGGGAGACGAACTTAGTAAATTTTCAAGAATGATTCTCGAAAATTAAAGAACGGGAAGGAGACCTAAACGAAATTGGATCAACGAAAAAACTTGAAAGAGAAGCACTAAACTGTTCAGGAGTGGGAATGGAAATGAAGATTGTTTGCATTTTGTTTCTTTCAATTTTCGATGTTACTTTATATCTATTTTCTTAATCTTCGAAAGTATCTAATAATTTTTGATTTGAAAAATGCAGATCGTTTCTTTATTAGTAAAAACTAAAATATTGATTCTTTAAGGAAAAGGACACCTGGTGTGGTATTTTTCACTATGACTATAGACGAGGCTCAGAAAGTGTGTAAAAACATTCAAAATTAAATCTCAAGTTTCAATTTCTGCGCCATATTTCTGGAAGTAGGAGTGATAAAGCCAATTTTTGTGGGCAACTTTATCCCAAAAATACAGGGCAACGTTTTCTCGATTACCATGGTAAGGGTTAAATTTAAAACACTGTTAATAGGTCAACGAGTTTTTAAGACCGTGTATAGTGAATTAAAGTTTTTTTTTTAATTTTATGGTGACTTTTTTGTGGCATAACTTACCACCAAAAAGACCTAAGATACTAAATGTTTCGGCTGATGTAGTTCCAAGCATCAGAGGAACTTGATTAAAATTTCCAGACTCAAGTAGGGGAAAACTGAAGTTTGTGACGTAAGCATCTTCGTGTTCAACTTCAATGGATATACCGGTCTAGAAAAAGAAACATCATTTTGTTATTGGGAATACTTGGTAAGCAAAAGGCGAATTTTGACGCGTTTAATTTGAATAAATAATTAACCAAGGAAGGCGAAGATAAAAAGGGTTACATTAAGGTTGCGAAGGTTCAAGAAGCAAATTTCATTTTTTTTCCTACTTTCTTTACTTTTGGACGACTTGTTGTGGTTTAATTCCAACTACATACTATTACAAAACTGAGATTAGAGCTGAAACAAATAAAGAATATAAAAGCACCCGGTCCGAATAATATTAACTAAATAAAAGTTTTGAAGTTCAGTTTTTTTCCACTTTCTCAAGAAAAGTAAGGCTATTTCTGAACATTAAACTAGCGCGAAAATTATACGTTTAAATCTGTCTGAAGAATTAAATTAAAGGATCTTTCTTTCCGTTTGCTTTTTCAAAGATACTTCCACAATCCTCTGAATTCTTCGTTCATAACTTGTTGATGAATTGGTCTTGCTGACATTCTATTCTGTACCTGATTATATATTATATACCGTTATCAGCTATTTCATGATTGGATGATTGACGAAACGTCCGCAAATTCGGATTTATCTTTGGTAGAGGAATTGTTTACATGTAAGAATTTTAGTTTGGTCGAATAAGATCTCATGTTTATGTTAGGCAACTGCTGATGAGTTCATCTGTTGTAGTGGTAAGGGTCATTGATGTTCCTTTCGCCTAGTTGATATTTCCGGATCTATTTCTTCAATATATGTTTCATAGAATATATTGGGGACTAGAGTTGTCTCAAACGGAATTCTCTTTTTGATGGATACAAAATGTTGAGAGATTTCTTTACAAGTAGTAAATCTGATGTTAACATTTTGTTTCTAACGAATTTTTGGATTATAGGGTGACAATGATTGTCGAAGTAATTGTCATGTAAAAATATATAATTTCGTGAAAATCTGAATTTTTTGTTTTTATTTATTTTCATTTTTTTTATAGGGTGGCGTTTGTGGCAAAATCCTCAAAAAGGCTAAATTAGCAGTGAACACAAATAATTATCTGGAAAAAAATCACACGGATCCTATCGTCAACTTAAAATCTTCTCATCTTAATTGAAAAACACTTGTTTGGAATGTATTGTTCCTGTTACTGCCAAATTTTCATCTAAAACCAAAACTATAGAGACCCTACGTTTATAATACGTTATTAGGGCTATATACACCTTTACATACGTTCTCCTCCTCCTCTCTTAGATATTCCTATTATTATAAAATCAAACCAAGATTGGCTATTCAAATTACATGAAATTCTACTCACACAGACCAATATCGAACCAACTCCACATCTTGGTCCGTCCTTAACTTCAAAACATTAGTGACCACAAATCAAAAGTTCTCAGCAATCATAAAGTTGAAACCAGGTTTACCAGTTATCAACATCTTCGATCAATCTAAGAAAAAATTTTGTTTGAGACACCAGTTTATTGCATACCATGAGAAAAATGGAAAAATCAAAAAAAGAAAACTATCAACTAGGCTAAAAAAACATGAAACAGTATGACAAATGAACTCATCAACAATTCGAACATAATCATAAAATTGGATTGGACCTAGAAAACGTGTAAATCGTGCTAGAGTAGCATATAGAAGTTTTTTTCAAAAAATATTTGGAGATATCAAAAAAGGACGAGGCTGGGGAATGGATTTACTGAGAGTCAAGCAACTTGATATATCATTCCGTAAACTTTGTTGTATTGTAAATATACAACAACATAATAATGATAAAAACCTAGAAGAGACCTAAATTTGGCTTAACATTGAAAAAAGAAATCAGACTTGAAAACAACGTTGCTGAATTTAGATTTATACTTGCATTCGGGTTTCGACACGCTCGTTACATACCTTCCCTAAGAAAACTATGTCGCCACAGCAATGATTAGCAAGTTAGCACAAAAACGTTTTCAGGCAACTGCCAAAAACCACATACGAGATTGCTGCCCGGAAAACAACTCCTTTTAATATCACCACAAATATTCAATTAATTTAATTGGGTACTAAGCGAAAACTTTTTATTGTAAAACCATAGCGTTACTTAAGAAAAGTATGAAAAAGGAAAACACCTACTTTTGAGTTCTATATGTTCTAAAAAATAATAGTAAAATATAGTAATGCTTTTCAAAAAAATGGTGTAATTACTAGCGAATAATATACATTTTTCTATACTTACAAGACCGTTTGCGGCGAAAGCGGGAGTCAAAACTTCCGCTGGCAGGCTTTGTAAAAAATCTCGAATTTCTGTAGTCGTGTTTCGTTCGGAAATCGTCGGGTCTACGTATTTTGCGTAGTCGTACGCAGCTTGGCGGGTGTTCTGTTTCATAGCTTCCAAATTTGCAAGCGAACATCCGCTCTCGCAAATGGCTGCCCTGTATAGACCTGCCGATTTCGGGTTTACAATATGCGCCCCCACAGAAAACCCGCCAGCACTTTGGCCAAATATGGTTATTTTTTCCGGATCTCCGCCGAAAAGAGCGATGTTGTTCTTAGTCCATTTCATGGCCAGTAATTGGTCTTTCAGACCTGCGTTGCCCAAAACTACGTCGTCTTGGGTGGATAAGAACCCGTACAGTCCTAACCTATAGTTGGTATAAACGATTACAACATCTTCGTCCAAGAGATAAAAAGGTCCGGTTGTAACGTCAGATGTACATCCCATTGTGAAACCACCTCCGTATATCCAAAACATTACAGGCAGTTTATCGATGATCTAGAAACGAGTTAAAGGTTGGATTAAATATCGAAAAACTACTCAACCATTCCAGCACCATTAGCCCATAAATTATCCGTTTCTGTTTAATGGAAAACTATGATTATAATAAAGAAAAGTAAAAGATAGTTCATTTTTGTTATCCACTCAGACCTTGCGTTGATCTGAAACGAAGTCATGTGCGTTTCTAACGTTCTCAAAATTTGGTATCTGATGCACCTTTCGTTTTGCTTTTAACAAGCAAGTATGTTATTGATTTCCATCTAATGCAATTGTTCTAAAAACGTAAATAGAGATGTAAACAGTTATTACATTTGTTCTGGCAAAATTTAACAATTTTGGGGATAGTTTTCCCGGTGGTAAGATAACCTCGAAACATGTTCGCTCTCATTTTTTCGCAAAGTCAAAATGTCATGGCGCAAAGTGCTATCCGACTAGGAAAACACCGAAGACCGCATTGGAAATACGAATATACAAAAACAGAATTTGCGCCACCGTTAGCAAAAATGATGGGAGTTGATAATTTAATATCAGGTTTTCGCAAATGCAGGTTGAAGAAGTTTTAACCGGGAAAAAAATAAACACAGCACGTGGGAAAAAAGATATACTTGATGCTCTTGAAGAAGAGCAGAAAATAGAAAAAGAATGCATAGATTTTGCAGAAGGAAAATACCAATACCAAATACAAATGAACTCCACTTTGACGAGGCTGTATGAGAGGTGGTTCTAAGAAGGACAGGCAAATTGTTTCCATTGACAGAAATTTGGAAATGGCCGTCAAAGAAAGATCAATTGACGTATTCTTGATTTGATGTTCTGAAATCTATTAAACCACCTCGACAAGTAGTTTGTCCGTGTCTGTTGGTACAGGCACTAAATGTTTGGTGTATATATAGGAATGACCTACATTCTTATTACTTAACTTAATGCTTTATTTAATTACTTATTCACTTATGTTACGTATTACTTAAATTACATTTTACGTAATGAAGAATGGTTTGTTTGAATTTGTTACAATATTTGCAATTATGTTCATTTATTTGCAATAAAAAAAACTTAAATTTAATTTCAGCACACAGGAAGAGGAAGGGAAATTGATCTATACCATTATACAAGCGCCAAAGTGATGTGTGCTCATTATAATTTTAACAAAATGTACTTGCAGAAGCATATCTACATCTAGCTCGAAACAGCTACTTTCCTTCCGAGAAACATTAATTCTATCAGTCTCGCTTGGATACCTGTTCATGTACGTATATGGACGACACATCGAAGGCTGACAAATCTTGAACAGGAATCATCCCTTCGAATAGCATATAATTTACTGAATAGCGAGCTGAATAAATGGCAATGACCATCTTGTCCGCATGGGAGACTCTAGATTATCCAGCCAGGAGCAAAGCTGTACTGGAAGCTCAATTAGTTTTGTAGATAATTTATCCCGATTCTTTATGTAAGAGGTGCTGTACTTCCTCGAGAATATGAGGTGCGAATAAAGACGTGAATCGTGAACTTATTAATTGGGTTTCTTATTGTGTGTTCGAAATTAATTATTTCTCTATTTTTTAGATATAACAAAAGTCGTCCCACTATCTCTTACTCCAGAAAAAACCGGACTCTAAAGTATAAGGCATTCTTAAGTTTAGACTTTGTCTCTTATTGTGCTTAGATTTGAAAAAGTTATTGATTTCTCCAATATTTATTTATTATATTGTTCCCTCCTCATTTAATTTTGTTTTTAGGATTTCTGCCTTTCCAATAAACCTAGGATACGGTCCTAAGGCAGGAAGTATAAGAAATTTGTGATCTTTTTCAATTTTATTATACTTTAATCCCGTTCGTAATTAAGTACATTACAAACTAAAACAGAGTATTCATTAATGTTACCGGAAAAGCTATCAAGGAATGGTTGTCTGCTTGCCAACAGCGCAAAATTAAGCGAGGAACAATTGCCTCAGCCCACTGTTTTTCTAACCTTCTGAAAGCGTGGTATCTATATAATGAATGCTGGCGACAATTCTAACATATTCTGGAATGTTTTTGAGTCAGTGCGACATTAGAAAATGCATTTTGGAAAATGTTCCAAAAAGTTTGAATAAAGTCTCGAGCATCAATTTTTTGTAGTTGCAAGAACACAGATGTTTTATTAGTTAAGGAGTTAAGAAGTTGTGGATATAAATTCAATTTTCAATATGTGTTGTTTATTGACGTGTCACGTGACCGTCAGAACATCAAAACACCACAAGTGTTTTAAGTCAACAACTTGAACGCGTAAAAATCACTCACTTACCTTCCTTGCAGGCGTGTATACATTGAGATATAAACAATCTTCGCTCTGCTGAGCACTAGGCGTCATGGATATGCAACAGCTTTTTGTTTCGTTGGTCTCCAAGATGCCATCCCACGGTTTAGGAGGTACCGGACCCTGGAAACAAAAAATATCGTGCTGTGAGGTCATAAAAATCACATTTAAAAAATAGCACCCAGGAAAAGTAATAATTTTATAACAAAACTACCTTAATGGTTACATTGCTTACGACCTCAGCAAGCCAGCAGCATAAGCAGCTAAACATTTTATTAGTTAGGGCTTCTTATTGATATTAACTATTATTTTTCGACAAGCACATCTTTACTGGGATTTTATTTACGTGCAATTTAATAATTTCAGTGAAAACTTTTATACTTATGATTCTGACAAAATGATAACAGTATGCATAATTGTTGGCTTTCCAAATAAAAGTCGAACCATATATTTGTTGTTGCATGTACGAGATATGTGTCAGAGAAAAATAATTTTAAAAATTTAAGATACTACCTTGAAAAATTAACCAATTTACATTTAAAAAGCATACTAAATTCAACATCGTTTATATAATGGCCAGCAAAGATTTTGTGTTTTGCATTTGTCGTAGGCAGCCATTTCGTGAGGTTAGTTAGACCATTGTGCGTTGCTGTTATTTTACCTGAAATCTTAGTTTGCCGAGAGGAGGAGCTGCAAAAGGAATTCCTCTATAACCATAATAACTTTTGTTCTGGAAGGTGATTTCGGATCCTCGAATTGTCCCATCAGGAAGATCGACGATCAAATCTTGCGCCAGCTTAAAATGCAAAGCAGCTTTTAAAATAACAAAACGGGCTTAGCGTTTTTACAGTTGCAGTAACGAAAAACACATATTACAAAGTACAGGATAAAATAAGCGATTGATTAATATTTTTATTTATAACACCTCCCGCAAATTATCCGACATTCTGAGTGACCTACTCAGCAAAAAGGAAAAAATATTTTCTCAAAAACGTCCTAATTCAAACTTCCTTAGTGCTGCTGTTACAATTTGCCTTTAAAAGCATTACCCACTCTGCGCATTAATTAAGTTAATTAACTGAGTTGTTTTCTCGTGTACGGCTACTCGAAGCTATCAGAAACGTTAATTAATATATAGGGTGTTTCAAAATTCAGTGCAAGCATTCTAAGAGCGTATTTATCAGCAAATCTAACCTACAAACCTGTGTCCCAACTTGTTTTGTTTTCGAGATACGGGGTAGCAAAATTTTTAGAAAAGTATCTCATATCATTATTAGGGTTTATATATACATATATATATATATATATATATATATATATATATATATATATATATATATATATATATATATATATATATATATATATATATATATATATATATATATATATATATATATATATATATATATATATATATATATATATATATATATATATATACGTATTGATTCACGGATGGAAAAATGTGATGACACTATATTCCGGGATATCATCCGTTCGCTCGTTGAACTCCGACTGGAATCCTGCAAATCCTGCATCCGACTGGAATCCTGCAGACGTTTCACCAAAATCTCACTTGGCATCTTCAATGCTCGCGCTCCGAAAACACTTCGAACACTCGAAGTGTTTTCGAAGTGTTTTCGACCGCCATTTATCTTTATTCCTCCACTAATCTCTCTTCTTCTTTAATTGCTCAGTCGTTCATTGTATTTCTTATACCATCGTTCCATGAGATCATAGGTCTTCCTTTTTTCCTTGTGTTTATGGGGATATATTTTAGTGCTCTTTTTGGCCATCTCTTATCGTTCATTCTCTGAACGTGCCCATGCCATGAAAGTGGTCTTGTTTCTATTCGGTCAGTGCTAGTATGTATTCTCCCTGTTCTTTTTTGTATTTATTCATTCCTGACGTGTTCTACTCTCGACACTTTTCATGCTATGAATTAAGCGCTTGAGTTGCTCTTCTTCGCTGCTAAGCTCTGTTTTGAATGTCTGTTTTTGAATTACCTTTTTTCGTTATGACGCTTCCCAAGTACTTATAATTTGTAGCTCATTTCATTTTTCTAATATATAGTTCAGGATCTTCATCTTATTGTTCACTTTCATATATTCAGTGTTCTGCATATTCATATTCAGTCCACAATTCTCATAGTGTTATTTCAGTTTCCTCAGCATGTAATCTGCGTCGTCTTCATCGCAAGCTATAATCACTTGATCGTCTGCAAAAAAGAGACTCCTCAAATATTTGTCAGCTAAATTTACCCCCATATTTGCTATTTTTCCCCCCCACTCTCTTAGGGCTTCCTGAATATATATTTTGAATAGAGTAGGGGACATGCTACAGCCTTGTTTTAATCCTACGTTCACTGAAAAACGGTTCGATCTACGTACTTCCATCTTTATTACACCGCATCTTTATATAGGTTCCAGATGGCTCTCACATATACATTGTTGAGTCCGGTTGTCATTAACACTTCAATTAGGGTTTTTGCTTTATATAATAAACACATTGACAAGCCAACAGGTATTTGGGGTTCAAAATCTCCTGACAGCAGTATCGTACATATTCAAAATTATAATTTCGCATTTTTTACGGACTTAAGATGCGTATATGTAGGTATGTGTAAAGACAAAAACAAAATGTTATGCAAACTTATTCAAGTAGGGAAAAAAGTCATTTTTTTTTTGTATTTATCAACGAAATAAAGAGACCCCGGCTAATTCTGAAACTGAACAAGTTTGCATTAAATGATATGTTTATTTTTTGAGAAATAAATAACATTTCTCGCTGCTTAATTTATAAGAGACCTTATGAATGTTAGATTGTTCTTATAAACCTTATTATTAAAATTTTTCTGATGGGGACTTAAATCTTCTAATAAATGTTATACCGCTACAGTTCATGTAAAAAAGAGGCTCCTACGTTTTTAAAGTTATGATGTTTAACAATTGTTTTGTTAAAGCAAGCTAATCAAAATTGGCAGAAAATGAAATACAGTAGCTGCATTTATTGAGAGTGTGCAAAACCCCGTAATAATATTTTGCAGAATACACCAGACAGAAAACAGAGAACATCCAGAAGCAATAGAGGAAAATTTTGACTTTCGTCAACAAAATATCGTACGTGCTAGTGAGTCGCCGCATATTATCTTTCTTGAGCTAATTGCCTCTGGGCAGGACAGGAAATCCTGGGATCGCTGGACCCAGAATTAAAGCACCTAACATCCGCCCTTCTCACATAAGAGATATTAAACGTTCCATTAAATAATACACGTCAAAACAACCTTTCAAAAAAAATAAGCCATAATCTTAAAACTAAATTTACAGCTTTCTCAAAGATCTCTCAAGATCTTTTATCCATGAAAGATAAAATTCAATTTGAGATACTCCACCAGACGCAGGGGGACTTCAGAAGTTTCTTTGAAAAAAAAACAATGAAAAAATTAACAGCCATCTTTCCATCTGTATTGTAGGACATTGCAGCTCCCATTTCAGGGTTTGTCGACCCATATAAAATAAGATTATGCCTTTTGTTTTCATTGTTTCGAAGCAGAGTCCGGCACTTTCCATTTTTACTTCTTTTAGGTGCCAAAACAGCACCGTGTACTGTTTTTGCAACATCTTTGGTTTTAACAATTTTAAGAGGCATGGCTATCAATAAATAAACAACCGAAAAGTGAGGTTATGTTATATGTTACAGTTATATGCCCACTAATAGATTGCAAGTTTTGTTGTAATTTTTAGTCTTACAGCTGTTGCGAAAGCTTTTGCAAACACCTTTTTGGAAACTTACAGAACTTGTAAACTTACAATAAACTCACCTAAACTCAAATCGAAAGGTATTTTTTGAAAAGTCTCCAAGATGTTTAATATTACTTAACAGCCCATAAAAAACTGTGCCGGCCATTTTGACATTTCTTTGATTCAACAACCTTCATAAAAAAGGAAAAACATCCCATTTTAAGCGATATTCCTGCCACTTGAAGACCTTTTTCTTCAAAAATGAGACATAGTTTTAACTTTAAGCTTTTTACAGAAACATCATTTGAAAGTGGTTAAAACTTTTAAAACAATAGAATGCTTGAGTAAAATAAGTGATTACACTAACCTCTCTCACGGGGGTGTTTGTTTGTTTCGGTACTCCTATTGAAGGAAACATATCTCGAATTCTCTCTCAGTACGTTTTAGATGTCCCGTTATGGCTTTGCATAGCGAAAGTCTTTTTCTTTAGTACGAACCTTTTTAATGAAATATGCGGACGACATTATTACATCAGTCCCCAGACTAGATTCTAGCGGTATTCAATAGATATAATTCCAACCTTCAATTGACTGTAGAGAGGTAAACTGAATAAAGCTTAGACACCAAAGTCATTGGAGGTATAACGGATTCATGCATAAAACAACAACTAAATACTGGTTATAGCACTAAAAACACGCATGGAGAGAATCACCCATGTCACTTAAATAAATTGTACGACATATTAATGAACATATTATTAAAAATAATGTTTCGCGACCGCTCGTAAATCCGGAACGTGGAGGTTTCTCCAGAATCAAGGTTAGTCAAATAAAATATAAAAAATTCGAACAATTGAATCTAACGTCAGGATTGTCCATAATAAAGCAATTAGCTTGTGTCTTCACTAAACCTAAGGATAATGACGAACCACAGCATAGTAATCAGTCACAGCAATTGTGGAATTACGTCATAGCATAACATCTTTATTTAGTTCACTACTGCATGTCGTAAATTGACACAGAATTTTTGTTTGTCAGTTTTGAAATTGGTGTTTGTGGTGATGTTTGATTATGTCACTATACCTGACGTAACTGCACAACTGCCCTGACTGGAGAATAGCGTACCATGTAACCAATGTGATAGTGTATACCTGGGAAAAACATCAATAGCTTTAAAAGGTAGAATTACCCCACACAAAAGTGATTGTAGACTCAATAGAAACAACTGTTCAGTAGCAGTTCATCCAACGCAATTAGATCATATTTTCATTTTTAATGACGGAAATTTTTTGGATCGCGGGACAATAAATAAAACATAGACAATCCCGTGTTATATATTTAAATTTACTGACTTTAATAACTACAAATTGTGACCCGACATATGGCAACTATTGTGACATCATCAAAATGTAACAGAATGGCACTAAAAGACAAACATGGCAGTCAAACCTTTGAAATAAAACTGTAGACCGTTATTTAATTGGTGTATATTGTTGTAAATTTTAATTGTTACAAACACCACGCTGGTGGTGTTTGTAACAATTTGTAACAAGCATTTTGGAGTTTTAATATTTTAGTATCTAATACCGTTTACAAAAATTCGAAATTTTCCTTTTTGATTGATATTTGGACACCCACCTACGCAGTTTACTAAAGCGGACATTCAAAAACCCTTTACCTAAACGGTTTTTCTCAGTTATCTTGGAAATGTACCAAGAACAAATGAGCGTCATAGTGTACGAACGGCAACTTATACCTATTTTAAATGGAACACCCTGTATATTTTTTACTTAAAGTAAAAGTCCTTGGCAAACCTATTGCGAGAATATATATTCTGTGGATATTTGATTTAGCCGTTTTCCGACTAAATTGAGTTTATTATTCAAATTCGGGTTATGACTTTTGATGGCAGACTAACAGATATTAATAGTATAACGACTACCAATTTTAATCTCTAGAAACAATGAAAGTTTTAAAGAATGAGAGCTAAAGAATGTTTCATTTTTGATATCTTGATCTAAAGAATTACTACATCTTCAATAAATCAATGTCGATGTCAAATATCAGTTAGATCATTCTGAAGGACGCTACCGAAATAAATAACTATAATATAAGTCACTAAATAAACGTAAATTTTTCAAAGAAACTTCCACGTTTTAGTTTATTACCGTTTACAAATCTTATGGATTCTTCCTAGGTCAATTCTTTATAAATCAAATTTGAGAACGTTTTGGTACAATCCTGTTGGCGACCCGACTTGACCTGAGTCGCGGTTAAGATTGTTTGGTTGCTTATAGATTTCTATAGATTTTCTTTAGTTTTATCGAATAATATGTGATGTCCGATTTCGTGATTGTGTTCGGCAACTACTGTTGAGTTTATTTGTCGTAGTCTTAAGATTTCTTAGCGTTCTTTGAGTCTAGTTGATATTTTCAGCTCTGTCTCTCAATGGCGCATATGATCGAAGATGTTAAGAGATTCTTGGACGACTGGTAAATCTGGTTTTGAATTTATATATTTCTTAAGAACTTTTGATGTGTTGTTGGTAATGTTTTGAATGTAAGAAAGAAAGGACAACAGTGAACAACAGAGAACAGCGGATGTAAGGTGTTATCATTTTGTATTCAGTGACTTGGGTTGACATTCTTTTACTGCTCTGTAAACAAAAGAGTTGATAACCGATGATTTTTAGGCCGGGTGGTGATGTGACCATGCATTGAGTTATCGGTCTGTGTCTGTAGGTAAGTTTTCTATAAACAGAATGGTAGGTCCGATTTTCTATTGATAAGAATTTCTGAGAGTAGGAGATCATCATTAATTTCTAATAAACGGTAAAACGTATGGTACAATACATAGAGTTTAAATGGCAAAGAAAATCTGGTAGGGATTTTTGACCAGGAGGCCAAATAACAAAAGTATCATCAGCTAGCTTTTCCGTAATTATGGTTTTCGACGAAAGGTGTGTTGGGCTTTCTTCTCAAAGGCTTCCCATAAATATATTCGCGATGACTGGTGATAATGCAGAACCAATCGCTTTTCCCAACCTATGTTCATAAATTTATCCGTTACCAGAAAAATATGTTCCAGACAAGCATTTTTCAATTAACATGAGAATGGTTCCAGATTTTCAGATTTCAACATATCTGAATTAAATTTGAGGGTTTCGCTTCACTTTAGTAAAAAGGGTTTCTACATCACTACTTGAAATTAAAAAAAACTAAGTAAGAAACTAGAAGCTAGATATTTTGCTAGTGAACATATTGGGGAACCGACAATAGGTCGAAAGGGTAATCCTGGTTTGTGAATCTTAGGGACCTCGATAGGGAAAAAACCTTCATAAGAGATTTAAGGTTGCGTTCCACAGATGACGTAGGATCTTTTTTAATGACTATATTAGCTGTCTCTAAGAATATTTTGGATATTTTCTTTTTCCACCAGTAATCGGAGACAATGTTCATGCCCATCCTATTGCTCCGCCCCCCTCAAACAATATATAGACAGAGACTGAGTAGAATGCGAACCAGTTTTAGTTTAGCTCTGAAGAACACAACAGGATGATTGGCGAAACTTCAGCAAATTTGATTTATAAGGTTATTTTGATGTTTAATAGCTAACTTTTTTTTTGAGTAATCAACAAAAAAAAAAGACTTTTTTCTATACATATTTACACAACTAAATCGAGTTGGGATACATGCTTATATATAAAAAAACAAATTTTCTTAGCTAATAAATATGCTATTAAAATATTTTTACCGAATTCTGAAGTACGGTGTATCAGTATTAAAAGTTGACATTAGTAATTAGTAGAAAATTAACAATTTGAATTAATGTAGCCAAGCAGCGGGAAAAGCTCATAAATATTACCGATATTATTACTTGTATTCTTAAAAAGAAATTTTTGATACATAAAGTAGAAATGGTAAACTAATTCTTTTATGTGACTTACGGCGACTGAAACGAATACTACACTCAGAAGTATATGCATGCTTGTTTTTGAAATTGCCGATAGCGCTGGCATTTTCGGATTTTATATACTCCATCAGGAGGCTGATAAGATAAAATCGCGGCAATGAATTTTAGTGTATAGTTCGATGCATAATTTGCTTTGAATCGATTGGCTATGCTCTTCCCTGTAACTGTTTTCTAGTCCACTCATATTATTTCATATATACCGGGTTAATAAAGTATGGTCTGTTCATAGATATAAGAAAGTGCCAATTGCTGCCAAGGGTGGTCATTAACATACAATGCAACACGATTATTACCTAAAGTTTCGGAATTTAAATTCATGTAAAATTGTGGTCCGTAATAGAAAATAATTCTATACCTACCTGTGCTTAATATTATTTGGTTTGGTATACTACTCAGTTTAAGTTTATTAATAATCATTCTTATTTCGTGTGCAATACAGTGTGTGTTGAATCGTGTGCGAATTATGCAAAATATGTGCGAGTCTAGTGTATTTCAGGAGATGCTCCAGCCCAAATGTAGAAAACACTATTCTATTGAGACTGAGGAAGTTATAAACAATGTTTATTTGACTCTCATTGAACGTGGTGTGAGCAAGCAAGCATCTTTAGAAGAAACGGCCACATTGACGAAAATTCCAACATCAACTATATGGAAAGTTGCCAGGAAAAAAAGAAGCGACGCTGACATTTTTTCGAGTGTAGATGAAAATGATCAAAATATAATACGGCGTAAAATTTACCAGTTATACGAGGAATAAAGCGTGCCTACAATAGATGTCTTAATTAGTAAGCTTGAAAAAAATGAAACCGGTGTTAAATCTGGCAGTGTATTCAACACATGCGTTTTAGATTTAAAAAAATTGACAAAAGGAAAGTTTTAATGGAATCTTTTAGAATTCGGAAATGGCGACTGGAATATCTAGAAAAAATAGGATTTACAGAGAACAACAAAGGCCAATTATTTACTTGGATGAAACTTGGTTCGACACTTATGATACCCCGGAAAAGGGTTGGTTTGACTCAACTGATAAGTGTAAAACAAACGCGCCATCAAAGGGAGGTAAAAGAATAAATATGCATGCTGGCCCTAAATCTGGTTAGATTCCAAATGGACTTTCTCTGTCTGCGAAAAATATTAAAGATTCTTCTCTAGGTTTCTATGAAGACACCACCTCTGATTTATTTGAAATTGGTTTAAAAACAAACTAGTTCCAAACATTCCTCCTAATAGTGTCATTGTAATGGACAATGCAAGTTATCACAGTAGACAGTTAACGAAAACCCCTTCCTCATGTGACACAAAAGCAACAATCCCAAACTACATGTATAATAACTACATTTATTTTCACGAAGATTATACCAAAAAGCAATTAATTGAGGTTCTACAAAGCTTGAACCTACCAAAGGAATACGTCTGTTATAATTATGCAAACAATCTAGGACATACAGTTTTAAGGCTTCCTTCCACCTTACCACTGTATATTTAATCCCATTGAACATGTTTGGCAACAACTAAAATCTGCCATTTGTCGTAACAATGTTTTTCCCCGTATTAACTCCAATGTCCTCAAACTTATAGAAACCGAAGTTTTTAACATCCCTCCACAAAGTTGGGAAAATTCTGTTAAACATATAGAAACAACAAATAATAATTAGAACAGGCGATGATAGCGATAGTGATACTGATATATTAAGTGAATAATTTTAAGTAATTTAAGTAGGTAATGAAAATAATTTGTAATTTCATTTTAGATTTAAACAAAAATACATACATAAATAAATAAATATTGTTTAGTATCTTTCGTAACAAAACCCCAAATAATTAAATTCTAAGCAAAGTACGGACCTGTTCGGCCATATTTCATTCTTACCGCCTGCCCGGGTCTTTCCTTAATTCGTATCAGTTAGTCGCTTTGTTATATCTATCTATGAACAGACTTTACCTAATTGCTGCAATATTTCCAAAAACCAGGGAGTCCTAAACATACAGAATGCAAAAATATAAACAGCATTTGCTGTTTCAAACCCCAAAGACGTCATAATTTTGTTATTTTAAATAGGCCCAGCCTTAGAGAAAGAAATGCTTTTTAATTGCGATTGTTGATTTCTTGCTCAATCAAAAAATTCTCCGGATAATCGCGGCATAAAAGGCGGCGGCGCTAGGCTAATTATTCAGTTCCTTATGAGCATACGCAAATATAACAATTTTATGTGGAATTTAAGAATATTTCCCCTTAGAAGCTAGCAACTCGCAAATAAGTCAAGGTGGTTTTTTTTAGTGAAAATGGGAACTCTTGGGGTTTGTATTTTGATTCCTACTGAGAGTTCAGTGCCAATACAAGTATTATATCGTTCTTTCTTCTAAAACTTCTTAGTTTCCTATACTATATACTAAGGTTTTGGCATGCTTTGGTATGATTTTAATTTTATTTTTGTCAAACTGAACTCTACGTCGCTGTTTAAACGTACCAGTGTTCTCTAGGTCTGTGCAAACTAGAAAGGAATTATTGAATTAAAGAAAGGTGCTTATGGGTTTGTGCCATATAGCTATTGGGTAATATAGTAGCCCTACTACTACTACTACCCTACCCTACCCTACTATCTCAAAAGATTTTCTTTGCTACTACTTTTTGTTATAGTAGTGCTATATAAGTTGCAGTAAGATCTGCTGAAGATCACGTTAACAGGTATTCTGAGCGTCGCCAGTCACACTGCAAGGCGAACGATGGTTCCGTGCTACTTTATTGTTGAGGTTGATTTAATGTTCAATAAAGCTTTTGTAAGTTCTGAATTAGACGCAAGATACTTTTTCTTGTTTCCTTTGTAGATCAAGAATAAACAACTTATCTAATAGAATCGCTCTCAGATTTTCTTGAGTGTTTTGGTAACTCTTTCAAAACTCCAAAATTTCCACAAATCCGAATCAGAAGTTAGCCCTTCCGAGTTCTTCAAAACACGTTTCACGTTCACAACAATGGACTCCGATTGAGCACCATAAAATTTAATAAGTTTTTCATTGTGGTCTTTTTGTAACTCCTGGGCCTGCTATCAGTTGCCCGTCACGTTATTTCTTCAAAGTTCGACACCGTTATGTTCTGCGGGACAAGAATGCAGGGTCCTTCTGTCTCCAGGTTCAATATTAAACTCCAACTCTTGGAACTTCGCTATTCGTTTTCCCTGAAAATCAAGTTTAATAAATTGTATCTTAGATGGCCTTAATGCATACCAGCAAGATTTAATTTCATATTCTAACTAATCAAAACTGCACTTAGATTCTTTCTTATCCATAATCCGGCTTGCGAACCAATAGTTTTTTTTTCCTTTTTAAAGTGTAGAGCTGATGAATTCCTGGTGGGCCTGCATCTGAGATGAAACGGCTCCTAAGTCGATGTTGTTAACCCTTCTCGACAGCTTTCATCTTATTCAAGCATTATACCACTTTCTCAAGATCCTTGATGACATAATAAGTGCTGACTGCAAGAAAGTTTTGATTAGTTTTATTTATAATAATATTATTTATAACAAACACATTGTATTAATATTGATTTAAAATTAGGCAGTATAAAACTTAAAAATTTATTTAGATCAACAAAACTTCAAAAAGTTGCTGGCATCATTCTGAACTCAGAATAAACATTTGAAAAAGGAGCCTAAGGAATGTAGATTTTGTATTGCATAGCACTATACTCTAGCAAACACACATCAGTAGTTCTTATCTATAATAGCGTCATCGGATGAGTGTATATAAAAATATTCCTTTGAAAATAACTTACATTTTAATCAGTTAAAGTCACTTGAATCAAGTAGAAATTTCTCATATGTAATTTTTCTGTATTAAACTGCTAAAAATCTCATTGAGTCACCTTTCATTAAAAATTAATTATCTCCCAATGCCAATGCTTATCATGTACGCACCAGACTCATGTTTTCAATAGAAAGGTTTGGATCGAACTACTTCTCAAATTCTTCAATTATCAGATGTACCTGTGTGTATAGCAACTGTGTTTTTCTTTTAACATCGGAGATACTGATTTATTCTTCTAAAACCAAATTATTTTTGAAATTTTCTTCTATTAGCTTTAGAAACCTGCTTAAGTTTCTTTTCATATTTCCGATTACGCAATTTTATATAGTGATATGATGGCATTTGTGTTTAGGTTTCTACAATTTTTACTGTTCTATTCGGCACTAGTCTAGACTATATTATCTTCTGGGTTATATAGTTCTTCCAATTCCATGTTCTTGCTAGTACGTTGTTAGAATTCTTCTGCAATCTACAATTCTTAATCGATTTTCATTTTGTATTATCAGCTTCCACATCTCATATGTATGTCATGATTGGGCTTATGATTGTATGGTGCCGGTTTATCTTCGTGTTTCAGGGTATGTTATTGGGTTTCATTACGCATTGAAGAGCAAAACAGCAGCGACTGGCACTATGTATTATTGATTGTCTTAGTCATGTCATTGTGTGAGTTGATGGTAGCTTTCAGTTCTGAACCATTTAAACCATTTAACGAATATATCGATATTTTGTTTTGTCTTCGTTAATTCGTAAGCCTACCCGTTTAGCAGAAATTTCCATCTTAGCGAACTTCCCCATATATTATGTCATCTGCGAATGGCAATATAACACGAAGTCCCTGGTTTCCAAATTGGATTTTCTGTATTGCATTTTAGTATTTAAGCAAGCCCTTAACTGCGAAGAAGATTGGGGTTTTTCTTCAACTCTCAAGTTCTCAATCTGAAGTTCTGCCAGAAGATTCCAAGAAGATGACAAATGAGTTGGCTAAGATAATAGATTTTTTTTATAAATATCAGGTACTTAATTTTAACCGATGATAAGCTAGTATACTGAGCAGTCCCCAAGGTGTCAATTTAGAATATAAGCCTCATTAAACGCTCTCGCCTGCCAATTCAAGCGTATCCTGTGTTTTAGTCACTAGTTCGCATATGTTGTAGATTCGATTCATCACGTCACTCAGTAAATGTGTTCGTATCGGTGGTAGAAAAGTGCAG